TGGCATGATATATTCAGAGCACTAAAAGAAAAAAATCTGCACCCGAGAATACTATATCCAGCTAGGCTGTCACTGAAAATAGAAGGAGAGATAAAAAGCTTCCAGGACAAACAAAAACTAAAAGAATTTGTAAACACCAAATCAGCCCTACAGGAAATACTGAAAGGGATCCTCTAAGCAAAGAGAGAGCCTAAAAGTTGTAGACCAGAAAGGAACAGAGACAATATACAGTAACAGTCACCTTACAGGCAATACAAAGGCACTAAATTCATATCTCTCAATAGTTACCCTGAATGTTAATGGACTAAATGCCCCAATCAAAAGACACAGGGTATCAGAATGGATAAAAAAACAAAACCCATCTATATGTTGCCTACAAGAAACTCATTTTAAACCCGAAGACACCTCCAGATTTAAAGTGAGGGGGTGGAAAAGAATTTACCATGCTAATGGACATCAGAAGAAAGCAGGAGTGGCAATCCTTATATCAGATCAATTAGATTTTAAGCCAAAGACTATAATAAGAGATGAGGAAGGACACTATATCATACTCAAAGGATCTGTCCAACAAGAAGATCTAACAATTTTAAATATCTATGCCCCTAATGTGGGAGCAGCCAACTATATAAACCAATTAATAACAAAATCAAAGAAACACATCAACAATAATACAATAATAGTAGGGGACTTTAACACTCCCCTCACTGAAATGGACAGATCATCCAAGCAAAAGATCAACAAGGAAATAAAGGCTTTAAATGACACACTGGACAAGATAGACATCCCAGATATATTAAGAACATTGCATCCCAAAGCAACAGAATACACATTCATCTCTAGTGCACATGGAGCATTTGCCAGAATCGATCACATCTTGGGTCACAAATCAAGTCTCAAATGGTACCAAAAGATTGGGATCATTCCCTGCATATTCTCAGACCACAGTGCTTTGAAACCAGAACTCAACCACAAGAGAAAAGTTGGAAAGAACTCAAATACATGGAGGCAGAAGAGCATCCTACTAAAGAATGAATGCGTCAACCAGGAAATTAAAGAAGAATTAAAAAAAAATTCATGGAAACAAATGAAAATGAAAACACAGCTATTCAAAATCTTTTGGACACAGCAAAGGCAGTCCTGAGAGGAAAGTACATAGCAATACAAGCCTTTCTCAAGAAACAAGAAAGGTCTCAAGTACACAACCTAACCCTACACTTAAAGGAGTTGGAGAAAGAACAGCAAAGAAAGCCTAAACCCAGCAGGAGAAGAGAAATCATAAAGATCAGAGGAGAAATCAATGAAATAGAAACTAAAAGAACAGTAGAACAAATCAATGAAACTAGGAGCTGATTCCTTGAAAGAATTAATAAGATTGATAAACCCCTGGCCAGACTTATCAAAAAGAAAAGAGAAAGGACCCAAATTAATAAAATCATGATGGAAGAGGAGAGATCACAACCAACACCAAAGAAATACAAACAATTATAAGAACATATTATGAGCAACTATATGCCACCAAATTTGACAATCTGGAAGAAATGGATGCATTCCTGGAGATAAATAAACTACCAAAACTGAACCAGGAAGAAATAGAAAATCTGAACAGACCCATAACTGGTAAGGAGATTGAAGCAGTCATCAAAAGTCTCCCAACAAACAGAGCCCAGGGCCAGATGCTTCCCAGGGGAATTCTACCAAACATTTAAAGGAGAAATAATACCTATTCTCCTGAAACTGTTCCAAAAAATAGAAATGGAAGGAAAACTACCAAACTCATTTTATGAGGCCAGAATCACCTTGATCCCTAAACCAGACAAAGACCCCATCTAAAAGGAGAATTACAGACCAATATCCCTGATGAACACAGCTGCAAAAATTCTCACCAAAATACTAGCCAATAGGATCCAACACTACATTAAAAGGATTATTCACCACGACCAAGTGGGATTTATTTCTGGGCTGCAAGGTTGGTTCAACATCTGCACATCAATCAGTGTGATATAATACATTAATAAAAGAAAGAACAAGAACCATATGACACTCTCAATAGATGCTGAAAAAGCATTTGACAAAGTACAGCATCCTTTCTTGATCAAACTTATCACAGTGTAAAGATAGAGGGTACATACCTCAATATCATAAAAGCCATCCATGAAAAACCCACACCAAATATCATTCTCAATGGGGAAAAACTGAGAGTTTTTCCCCTAAGACCAGGAACATGGCAGGGATGTCCATTATCACCACTGCTATCCAACATAGTACTAGAAGTCAGCCCCGGCAATCAGACAACAAAAAGAAATAAAAGGCAAAGAAGAAGTCAAACACTCACTCTTTGCAGATGATATGATACTTTATGTGGAAAACCCAAAGACTCCGCTCCAAAACTGCTAGAACTCATACAGGAATTCAGTAATGTGTCAAGATATAAAATCAATGCACAGAAATCAGTTGCTTTCTATAAACCAACTGCAAGACTGAAGATAGAGAAATTAGGGAGTCAATCCCATTTACAATTGCACCCAAAACCATAAGATACCTAGGAATAAACCTAACCAAAGAGGCAAAGAATCTGTACTCAGAAAACTATAAAGTACTCATGAAAGAAATTGAGGAAGACACAAGGAAATGGAAAAACATTCCATGCTCATGAATTGGAAGAACAAATATTGCGAAAATGTCTATGCTAGCTAAAGCAATCTACACATTTAATGTAATCCCTATCAAATACCATCCATTTTTTTCAAAGAAATGGAACAAATAATCCTAAAATTTATATGGAACCAGAAAAGACCCCAAATAGCCAGAGGAATGTAGAAAAAGAAAACCAAAGTTGGCAGCATCACAATTCCAGACTTCAAGCTCTATTACAAAGCTGTCATCATCAAGATAGTGTGGCACAAAAAGAGACACACAGATCAATGGAACAGAGTATAGAGCCCAGAAATGGACCCTCAACTCTACAGTCAATTAATCTTCAACAAAGCAGGAAAGAATGTCCAGTGGAAAAAAGACAGTCTCTTCAACAAATGGTGTTGGGAAGACTGGACAGCCACATACAAAAAAAATGAAACTGGACCATTTCCTTACACCACACACAAAAATAGACTCCAAATGGATGAAAGACCTCAATGTGAGATGGGAATCCATCAGAATCCTTGAGGAGAACACAGGCAGCAACCTCTTCCTAGAAACATCTCCTCAGCCACAGCAACTTCAGCCACAGCAACTTCTTCCTAGAAACATCTCCAAAGACAAGGGAAGCAAGGGCAAAAATGAACTATTGGGGCTTCATTAAGATCAAAAGCTTTTTCACAGCAAAGGAAACAGTCAACAAAACCAAAAGACAACTGACAGAATAGGAGAATATATTTGCAGATGACATATCAGATAAAGGACTAGTATCCAAAATCTATAAAGAACTTATTAAACTCAACACCCAAAGAACAAATAATCCAATTAAGAAATGGGCAGAAGTCATGAACAGATATTTCTGCAAGGAAGACATCCAAATAGCCAACAGACACATGAAAAAGTGCTCAACATCACTCAGTATCAGGAAAATACAAATCAAAACCACAGTGAGATACCACCTCACACCAGTCAGAATGGCTAAAATTAACAAGTGAGTAAATGACAGATGCTGGCGAGGATGTGGAGAAAGGGGATCCCTCCTACACTGTTGGTGGGAATGCAAGCTGGTGCAGCCACTCTGGAAAACAGTATGGAGGTTCCTCAAAAAGTTGAAAATAGAGCTACCCTATGACCCAGCAATCGCACTACTGGATATTTACCCTAAAGATACAAACGTAGTGATCCAAAGGAGCATGTGCACTCAAATGTTTGTAGCAGTAATGTCCACAATAGCCAAACTATTGGCTACAAAAGAACCTCGATGTCCAACAACAGATGAATGAATGGGTAAAGAAGATGTGGTGTATATATATATATAATGGAATACTATGCAGCCATGAAAAAAACCAAAATCTTGCCATTTACAACGATGTGGATGGAACTAGAGGGTTTTATGCTAAGTGAAATAAGTCAATCAGAGAAAGACAGTTACCATATGATCTCTCTGATATGAGGAATTTGAGAGGGAGGGCAGGAGGTTGTGGGGGGGTAGGAAGGGAAAAAATGAAACAAGATGGGACTGGAGAGGGAGACAAAGTATAAGAGACTCTTAATCTGAGGAAACAAACTGAGGGTGGCTGGGTGATGGACATTGGGGAGGGTATGTGCTAGGGTGGGTGCTGTGAATTGTGTAAGACTGCTGATTCACAGACCTGTACCCCTGAAGAAAATAATTTATTATATGTTAATTTAAAAAATACAAAAAAATAATATGAATGAATCTCAAATGACTATTTATCATGCTGAGTGAAAGAAGACAGGCAAAAAGAATACATCCTATATGACTCCATTTATATAAAACTCTAGAAAATGCAGCTAATCTATAATGACAGATCAGTCATTGTGTGGGATTAAGGGTGGGAGGAACACAAGGAAGGAATTACAAAGGGGTATGAGAAATGAATATGGAGAGAAATGAATATGCTCACTATCTTGATTATGGTGATGGTTTCATAGGTCATAAACATGTCAAAATTTATCATACTGCACAGTTTAAGTATGTATAATTTATTACATAGCAATTATGCCTCAATAAGACTGTTATGATATAAATATATATATCACATATATACAGGCAGCATACATATATGTCTCTATATAAAGAGATATTATATATAAATAAACATATATCTCAGTATTTCTCAAATTTATTTGACCATGACCATTTTTCCCTGCTCACCTATTACCCTAGTTTGCAGAAACATGGCATATGCGGAGACAGACCTAGGACTGATCGTGGCTTTACTCTCTTACTGGCTGTATACCCTTCAGTAATTGAGTTACACTTCCAGAGCCTCAGTTTTCTTTTCTGTAAAACGGAGCTGTGGTCAGGGTTTAAGAAGTGAATTTTGAAGGCCTGCCACATCCTAGGTTCTTAAAAACTTTAGTCCACTAACTATCCCAGAAATCAAGCCAGCTCTATTTATGGGATTCCCCAATTGCATTAACTTTATTTTCAACTAAAGAAACTAGCATTCAGTCCGCTTGAGTCCAAAGGTCCGAGGGGAAAGATGTTGAAATACTTAGCATTGCCTTGCAGGCCCATCTGCTCTGCATTAGCTGGTCTTCCTCTGTTTATTATTCCTGGTGTTAAATCTCCTCCAATTCTTGTGTGAAAAGTTTGGACACACAATAACCTCTTTATCACATTTTCAAACTCTGGGCTTGTTCTGGAAAGTTTACACCTTTTTCTTGTTGCCATTGTTTTCATGTGGATTCAGATTTCTGAAAAAGACATTGGGAGCACTTTACTGGAAACATTTATGTGTAAGCTGGAAACAGACAAATATCATCAAAGAATAAAAATGGGATGTCAGAGGAATTAGAACTGCACTGTGTGGGCTCTGTGTTGTTCATCGAGGTTCAAGCTGGTGTTCAGGAGCCAGAGCTGGTCCACCCCTTCCCTCAGCCTCTCTACTTTGGGGGTAGTCATTGAATAATACCAAAAGGATAAATAGAAACAAGCCAATGTTAGGATATAGAATAAAAAGTGCATATAGCTATAAAAATAAATATATCATAAAAACAATACTGGTTACAATTCATTGCAAAACATTTGTACTCTATGCTTTACTAAATGTTATTTTTTAAAGTAATCTCTACACCCAACACGGGGCTTGAACTCATGACCCCAAGATCGAGTCACATGCTCTACGTACTGAACCAGCTAGGCACACCAGAATGCTGTTTTATTTAAATCTCAAAACATGCCTGTGAGTCAAGTATAGATTCAGTGAGGATTCTTTCAGTCACAAGTGACAGAAAATTCACCTCAAACTGACTTATATATGAAGGACTTTTTATTGGGTCTGTCAATTAAAAACCTAGATTTAATCTTAGCTTCAAGTGAGACTTGATCCAGCAGCTCCAGAAGATGTCTCCAGAGACTCATATTCTCTCCTTCTCCTCCCTGCTTTCTTATGGGTTTTCTCTTTGGCCTTCGTGAAGTCAGTCCAGAAGTTTCAGGCTTTCCCATGGTGGCAAAATGGCTGCAGTTGTCCCGGACCTCACACCTTCCCACCACATCACTCAGAGAAAGAGAGAACGAGCCCTGGAATTAATTTACTCTCTCACACTAGTCCCAAATGAGGTGTGTGTCTGTCCCTGAACAGATGACTGTAGTGGGGGAGAGCAAAAGAAGTGAGTAAGAGCGGTTGACTGGATTAAGCCTTTGGGGTAGGGGAGTGGACCATACCTGGGAACTAGTGGTGAGGACAATCCCAACCAAAGCCCCATGCTGAGAAATTGGGAGAATAGGTTTCTCAAAGGAAAAAGAAAAGAAGTTGATAAGAAAAACAAAACTGGGTGCTGGGCATACACTCACAAGTGTCTATTACAAAAGACACATCTATTACATTCATTTATTACAAAAATTTAGGTGATGATACATTAGGGAATAAAGAAACAAAAATTCCTGTGGTCAATGCCCGCACCTGCCCTCCACCCCATACCTCCTTGACCCACCTGCAATGGGTGGTGGACCATTCCCCCTCAGGGTGACTGTGTGCATCTCTCTGCTTCTCCCCCTGAAGACTTTTTCTGGCCCTGGAAACTTGTTCAGCTTGGTGCATGGCTGCCTGGATGTCCTGGATGTCCTCAGAGCAACCGGAAGCCAACAAAGGACAGGAGCTGGGGACAAATACTCCAGTTTTTTTTTTATGTTTGTTTTTGTTTTTGTTTTTGTTTTTATCTCTAGGTAGGAAATCTCTGGGGCTGTTTAACAGGACTTCTCAGAAGATCTCAAACAGGTTGAGCCCCAGTTGCCAGAGCAGTAATGAGCAGATTAATGCATCCCTTACTGGTTTTTCCCCCTTCCTTGTCTCTCTTCCCCAGCCCTCTCTTTTAGGCTCCTTGGAGTCGCCTCCCAAATGAACAACTTGCATTGAAGCCCTTGTTGCATGGTCTACTTTCAGTGGAGCCCAGACTCAGACTATCCCTGCCTTCATGGACTCACATTCTGGTGGCAGAGGGAGACACATAGTAAACAGACTAACTGAGCAAACTCTATAACGTTTGTTATATAGGAGATGGTTGTTCGAGAGATAGATAGAAGAGGGGAGAACACCAGGATGGGTGTGGGGCTGCTATTTTATATCAATGTCCAAGAAGGCCTGGAGGAAAAGGTGATGTGAGTCAAGACCTGAAAAGGAGATTATCAGGTCAAGCTGATATAATGAATAACCCCAAGCTGATATAATGAATAACCCCCAGATCATCATGGCTTAGAGACTTCTTGCCCACTGAAACTACATGCCCGTTGCAGGTTAGAAGGGATCTTGCTCCACCCACCTTCACTTGGTAGCCAACTGAGGAGACATTGCTGGTTGTCACGGAAAGCAGAGAAAGAGTTCTGGAAGGTCTCACAGCATCAAGAAAAAGTTCCGATCTGGGCTTTTGGGCTCTACTCACAACTCCTGTGTAGAACTGGTCATGTGACCCACCAAGCATGGAGGATGAAGGAGTACAATTTACCAAGTGTCTCTGTGGTAGAGAGCTAAAAATGGTGGAAGGACAAACCCAATAACACACAGTCTATCTTTCTGATAGTCTAATAGTCAGACAAAATATACTCACCCTCTCCCCAAGGCAGAAGAAGTCAATCATGACATCAAACTCAAAGTCCATCTAGGGATGACTTGTCTCTGTATCAGGCGTATTGAGGCTTCTCTTGATCCAGAGACCTACGAACCAAAAAGATGAGTTGTCTGAACCCACCATGCAATATGTGCCTGGCTTTCAACATAAATTACAAAGTACACTAAAAAGCAAATCACACAATTTGAAGAGAAAGGGTGAATGAGACTCAGATGTGGCAGGGATGTCGGAATGACTAGACCAGGGGTTTAAATAACTCTGATTACTATGTTAAAGGCTCCAGTGGAAAAAGTGGACAGGAAACAACTACAGGTGGGTAAGGTAATTAGAGAGATGGAAACTCTAAGAAAAATTTTTTAAATGCCAGAGATCAAAATTACTGTAACGGAAATGAAGACTGCTTCTGATGGGTTCATTTAGTAGACAGGACATGGCTTAGGGAAGACCCTCTGAGCTTGTAGTTATGTCCGTGGAAACTCCCCAAACTGAAAAGCCAAAGAACGAAGACGGGAAAAAATGGAACAGAATATCCAGGAACCATGGCACTATAAAAGGTGCAACACGTGCATACTGCGAACAGCAGAAGAAGAAGGAAAAGAAGAAATATTTGAAGGAATAAGGATTGAGATGTCCCCCCAATTTATAAGAGATATGAAAGCACAGACCCAGGAAGCTCAGAGAACACCAAGCAGGATCAATGCCCCAAACCCTACACCCAGGCATATCATATTTAACTGCAGAAAACCAAAAGAAACAGATGAATCCACTATTGTAGTTGGAGACTTCAACACCCCCTTATTAGAAATGGACAGATCCAGCAGGCAGAAAATCAGTAAGGACACAGCTGAGCTCCACAGCACCAAGAGGTCAATTCTAAAGGGGAACAGAGGACACAGAGCAGGGGCCACTCTGGAGCAATTCGGAAATTCTGATGAGCAGCCCAGGCAAGGGCCTCCCAGTCAGGAGGTAGGGAGTTGTCTGTGAATAGGTCTCTGTTTTGGTCCCTGGGAATTTTTTTTTTTTTTTTTTTTGGTCTGTTAGTCCCTGTTCTGGGAGATTCTTCTTTCTCTACTCCTCTCCTTGGCCAGATCTAAATTAGGGTATTAGAGAATATGCCCTCCCTGGGGGCTGCTCTAGGACACAAAACCCCATGCAACTTCCCAGATTCTACTGATGGCTTCCTCCAACCACCATCCCAGAAACCTACCCTGAAGATATCCTTCCAAAGCACAAAACAACATATGCACAAGGCCATAATTGCAGCCACATTTTTAATAACAAAAGACTGGGAACAACTCAAATGTTCATCCATGGGGGTCTGGTTGAATAAATTACATCCATACAATGAAATTCTGATGCAGCTGTACTAAGAATGAGGAAGTGTTCTCTGTGAACTGGAATGATCTCCAGAATATATCGTTAAATGGAAAAAAAAAAAAAAGCAAAATACAGAACAATGCATTACAGTATGCCAACTTCTGTTTAAGAAAAAGGGAGAAATAAATATTTTTGCTTATTTTTGCCAAAAGAAACACTGAAAATGGGGTAAAGAATATAGGGAGGGCAGGGAGGCGCCTGTAAGGATGCCTTTTAATGTTTTGACTTTGAACCAGATTACGCTTTACATATTCAAAAATAAAGTTAAAACAGAAAAGGGAAAAGTGAAAACCCCCAAACTGAAGGTAGTGTTAGGAGGGTTCAGTGACTGTGAGATGTGTTAGGCAAGAAACAGGAAGGCACACAAGAAACTGGAAAGAGGACGCAGCCTTAGCTGATTTGGGGGCAGTAGCAGGAGGAACAGGTCTGGGGGTCCATTGGGACCTGGTCTTGAATGTGCTAAGTTGGAGATGTTCGTGAAGCATCTAGGCAGAGACACTGAACAGGCACTTTGTGAGAGCCTGGGGCCCAGGGAGGAGGTCTAGCTGCAGATAGAAACGTGAGCCTCACCAGCTTGTAGCTGGTGTTTCAAGCCACGAGACAGGATGAGATCACTGAGGGGATGTAGATAAGAAATAGGAAAGGCCTGGAGCCTGAACCTTAGGGCCCTGTGGTCGGGGTCAGGGGAACGAGGATGTACCAGCCAGCCAGGTGGGAGAAGAAGCAGGAGTGGTGCCCTGGAAGCCAAGTGAGGGGAGGGTTTCTCGGAGGAGAAAAGGACCACCTGCAGCCTTACAGATAGAGACGGAGAGGCCACTGGTCAGAGCAGCTGACCCGGCAAAGGTGGCTCCTGAGGCGGGCTGAGTATAGTTAACATACGGTGTTCTATTAGTTTCAGGTGTGCAGCTATCTCTTTCTGAAGAGTTCTCTGAAGAGTAGAGCAAAGGAGTAACAGGTAGGGGGCGGGTGGAGTCCAGACAGCCTTGCATTTTAAGGTCAGGGTCATAAGGCATGTTTGTTTGCAGATGGTCATGATCCAGTAGAGAGGGAGAAATATGATGGCAAGAGAGAGGGGCGTTATTATATAATTTATAAGATGAAGGAAATGACACTTCGGGACGCAGTTGGGGGAGGCTGGAATGGTGACTTGCAGGGGTCACCAGGCAGGATGTGTGCCCCATGTCTCCAAGCCCACCGTGTTTCCTAGTGAGCACCTCAGGGCTCTGGCTCTGCCCATAA